AAAGACTTGAGCCTCTGCTCAATTATATGGTCTAAATTCCATATATTATTTCAACTCGTGTATTCACCCTTGTTAAATTTGTTTTGATGTAAATGACAAAAAAAAAAAAACATTTTACTAAGGTCTCCCTCATAATACTTGATGATAACTCACGGCCAGTGTTTTTTTTTTTAAAACGAACCACTTTTCTGGGTCAAATGGATTAATTAGCAGGGATGTTTACGGTTTCGTTAATTGAATTTATGACAATTTTTGCAAATTGAACTGCTATCACCGGTTTTTTATTTCTCTAAACCGAAATCAAACCGGTACTACTGGTTAATCGGTCCACCAGTTTTAGTTTTTGACCGGTTTGATTCTTCAGTTTTTTATATTTATAATATATATAATTATATTATAAATAATAAATGATAAATAATATATTATAAATATTATAAAAATATAATATATATATATATATATAATGTATTTATAAATAGATTATTATAAATATAATATATGTATATATTCATATATAATATATAGAAAATATGTGACGTAAATTAAAATATATATATAATAGACCTGTTCATGGGCCGGGTGGCCCGACGGGCCGGCCCGGCCCGGCCCGACCACCGGACGGGCTTGAACAGGCTTTTTGGCCCGCGGGCTTAACCTCGGGCCAAAAAGCCTGGCCCGCATAAAATTCGAGCCGGGCTCAGGCTTTGCCAAAATAGCCTGACCCGGCCCGACCTATAGTTAAACCTAAGTAAAAACCCTATGTGATGTCCATTTGAATAATTTTTTTGATTTGATAAGGTTGTTGATTCACTTGTAAGCCCATTGTTCATTTAAATAGGGGAAAAAAACATCTGAATTAAAATAAATAATGTCTATTTGAATAGGGAAAAATTTGATTTTCTTTTATTAGGTCGGGCTTCGAGCTCGGGCTCGGGCTTCGGGCTTTTTATCAGGGCCGGGCTCGGGCCCAAGTTCTAGGCCGTTGGTCGGGCCGGGCTCGGGCTCGGGCCTATTATTTTTCTGTTAATGAACACTAAAAGCCTGGCCCGAGCCCGGCCCGGCCCGGCCCATGAACAGGTCTAATATATAATATACATATAAATATATATACAGGTTGTTTGGTTAGTCGCCGGTTTTTTTGTAGGTTAACCAAAAACTGAACCGATTAATTTGGTTAACTGCATTTTCCAGTTTGATTTTCTTGATTCGGTTCGATTTTTTGATTTTTCATGGACACCCCTATTAATTAATAATGTATAACTGAATAACAAAATTATATAAAATAGATGAAAAATAAATTTTCTGTAAAAATTATATATATTTTTATTATTATATATTGATCATATTAAATAAAATAATTAAGATACAATAATACACAATTAAGAATTATTTTTATTAATAATAAAAATAATTAAAAACACAAAATATGACTTAAAGATTTGACTATAGTACTGAAAAGACTTATAACCAATCAACCAAGTATCATAGATCTTTCCATGAATTAATATCAAAACAACAGGGCCAAACTGTCCAGCAGTTTAACTGACTGATTTGAAGAGAAGCGGTTCATTGGCGTAATGGACATGAAATTCTCACCATGTGACAAGTTAACTGGTCTATTCGACCACAAGTTGAAACATTGATCGACAAACATTTGTTTGATAAATCTCTCTGTTCCCCAACTATCATTACAAATCCCATATAAAATGACAATTAGACATCTGAGATTATTATAGGTAAATCATGAAAAATATATAAAACATCAGGGATATTTTTGTAATATGCTATTTTTTCTTCTTGATGACTTGTTGACTTCACCGAGGAACTAATCCCCTCTTCACTAGCAAGGGACAGTCTTGCAAGTTGTGACCCATGATAACCCTACTCAATATACCCATACTGATTTGAGTTTGTGTCCAAAATTAATGTTGGATTTATCATCATATAGTTGGTTAGGGGATATAGGAGGTAATCACCATTATCATTATCTAAGCCTTATCTCAATCATATGGCGTCAGTTACATGAATCTTGTTTTGCCATTTCATTGTGTTTAGTATTATTATTAAATTATTAGTACTCAATTATAAGTAGGTATTCTCTTCAATTATAAGTAAGTATTCTTTGCTCAAGGTAAGGGACTTGGGAAACTCTGCACTCTTTGAATATATCTCTTTATATTCTCTCTGGCTCGGACCAGCACTGTCTCAATTTGCTCGTTCTGGCCACATCCCTCTCTATCCTATTGACTTGAGAGTTAGAGTACCTATCTGAGGAATAATTTCTCGGGCCTCTGACCCTTCTCATGGTTATAGATCCCGGTGCATGGTTTCGTCCTTCCACCTCGAACTCATTCAATTGACAGGACTATCTGATCATGTCCTCGGATTGAACAACATCCAATGGCTATCAGCAATTTACCCTACTATCTTTGAGATTTCCATGATCCATGCCTTCCAATATTCCTTTTCTCTTACAAGAATTACTAACTTCCTAGCAATGCTTGTACTATATTGATTGTTGTTGTTTTATGCAAGGTTCAAAGTATCGTTACGTATCGGATGATACGTATCGTTTCAGGACCCTTCCAATACGCCCCTACAGTGGGTGTATCTGGGGTCTGACCGGTTCAGGGGATGGAGGGGTCCTAGACCGGCTCCCCTGAACCAGTTTTGAAAAAAAAAATTAAAAAAGGTAAAAAAAACAAGTATCGATACGCATGATACGCCGTATCAATACTTGTTTTTTTTTACTTTTTTTTTATGGCGTATCGGGCGTATCAATATTTTGAACCTTGGTTCTATGTTTTTTTGCTAGGATCTTGGTTAATTATTTGTCTATTCTAAAATTTTAAGGTATCAAACTTACTTGTCTTTCTCATTTCACTACTTGCTAACTAAGTAGACTTTGCCTATGTTTCTGTTCTGACCAATGCTTTAAAAATGGACGCAGAACCAGTACCGGTTTGGCCACTGGTTTTTGGGTCAGCATTTCTAGTGATTAGTCCAAACAAACAATCCATTACAATTTAAAAAATAATTAAAACAAAAAACGGCCAAGTCAAATAGGTTAACAATTTGATTGCCCGGGTCAGCAGGTCATTGACTAAGTCAACATTTTTTTTTTTTTTGCAAATTAACGGTTCAAAGGTGAAACAGAACCAGTTGGACGGTTTCTAGGCTGAACAGTTTGACCATCCAGATCAAAGACAGTTCTAAAACCTTGTATCTAACTGATGTTTTTGAATTTCATGTACACCAACCATGAATTTTTAAATGTTTTTTGAAGGATAGGTTTATTATTAAGATTCATTGTTTTTATTTTTCTATTCTTCCAAATTTCCTATAGAATAAATGCAGCCTTTTCCTATTCAACCCTTCAATTGTTGAATTGAATTATGTTCCTCATTCAGACCTTGGAAATGAGAGCTTTTTTTCTATCCAAACTTATTGGGCCACTGTTCATTCCTTGACTATGAAGTTCGCTCTCAAACCCTTAGCTAAAGACAGAGTAGTCCATATCCAGATCCATCCATTTGAGAGTTAGTACATTTATGGTTGTAGCTTTTCCATTGAGTAATAACCAAAGATTTCTTTCTCTAGACAGCATTTTTTTTCCATATCGTTTTCATTGCTTTTACAATTTCAGTTTTGTTTGCATTGGTCCTTATGAAGAATTGGTATGCTGACCTAACTATGAATTGTCCTCTTCCTCACCCAACCATATTTTTCTCTCTTGTGAGAATTGATAGAGATTGAGATATAACTTGGATGGATCTGCAACCCTACATGAAAGAAATTTTAAAACTCTTCCAAGTTCCACATTATCCATTAACATAATAAAATTCAAGTTCCATGAAGTAATTTTGAAACTAAGGGTCTCATTCGGTAAATATTGCACAAGTCATTTTGGTCAGACTCATTTAGTAAATAGTATTGCACCATTTCGATGGTAAACTTCAAGCCAACAATTAATGTAGAACAACTAAAATTATTATTAAAACAAAACTACTTTTATGCAAGTTAGAAACAAGGTTATCATCAATTGAAAAAAAAAACAAGAAAAATCTTTCCACTTGTTGTACATATGAGCTCTCAATTCATGACTTCAGGCATAGGCAACCCTACAGCACATTGATCCTTGTTTCCTTTATTCAAGTCCTGGGCCAGGGCCTAGCTAGGCCACACGAGCTATACGACCAACCATCAAAAACGACCCAGACGGAGTCGAGTCTATGCTTGTCCACTTCAACTTTTCAATGTAAATCCGTATCACTTTCGGGTACATACTGATAACCCATCATTCTTGGGGTCGACAAGCCGCCCATAGAAAACTGAAAACCAACCAGTAAAAGAAAAGAAAAAGAAAATTGAATAGCATTCGACTCTTCTAACGAGTCGAGTCTGGTCTGGATCCATCTAAATCCAGACCCAAATCTGAACGATGAGTTTGGGCCGGGTTATGGGGTATGGGCCTATACCATTAAATACATCAATACCACTTTATTGGTTACCACTTACCAGTTTTATAATACCGGTTACAAGATTTTCTAAGGTATGGATGATTATCCCAATTACATGCATCAGCTACATGAATCTTGTTTCGCTTATATAGGTTAAGGCCTGGCCTGAAGTATTGGGCCCAAGATTGACCCAAAAATTATTGGGCCTCATGTGGCCCGGAAACATGTGGGCCTGGGTAGAAATGATCACCCTTAATTTAGATTTGGGTCCTATGGGTTATATTTGGGCCCATATGAACCCGATTCATTTGATTATCTACTTACAAAAAAGAATGAAAAAAAGGAAAGAAAAAGGGAGGCCAAATTATCGACATCAGTAATGTTTTGTAATCGACGTGTTTGGCTATTATGACCCGAACCCAAAAAAAAAAGAGTTTATTGTCGGTTGAAGATCCGTGTTTGAAGGCGACTTTGCTTAAATGCCGCGTTTAAACCGCGTGAGTGTTAATAAATCAACCGAGCGTTTACCTTTCTCTTTTCTTTTTTATCTTTTTTCGATAATCCGAACAACGAAAGCGGTTGGTTGGTGGTTCTAACGACGAAGATCAAAGAAAACAAGTACAGAAGCTCTCGAAGCCCAGAGAGAGAGAGAGAGAACCAACCATGTCCAAGAAATCTGGTTCTTCAATTGCACTGGATGCTGAGAAGAGGGAAGAGATTGAGAGAGTGTTCAGACGATTCGACATGAATGGCGACGGCAAGATATCCTCCAAGGAGCTCGGCGACGTCCTACGAGCCCTCGGCACCGAGGTGTCGGCGGATGAGGTTAAACGCATGATGGAGGAGATGGACACCGACGGCGATGGATTCATCGACTTGAATGAATTCGCCGACTTCCATAGTTCCATGATTGGGGAAAAGAAGAGCGGTGATGAGCTGAGCGAGTTGAAGGACGCCTTCGACTTGTACGACAAGGACAAGAACGGGTTGATCTCGGCGGTGGAGTTGCAAATGGTGTTGAATGGGTTGGGAGAGCCGTATACGGTTGACGATTGCAGGCGGATGATCAGCTCCATCGATGCCGACGGTGATGGAAACGTTAGCTTTGAGGAGTTCAAGGTGATGATGAACAATGGAAGAGCTTCTGCTCAATAGTTCTAATCCTGTAAACATCAAAATCAATCGATGGATGACGAAGCCAAACATATGTCTGTACATGTGGTTTCATGGATTAATCTCCGGTCTATGTGTTTCGCTTCGTTTTTTTTTTTTTCTTTTGTTTCTGTTTGTGATATGAATGAATCTTGTCAAAGAAAACCAGAACGAAAGAACATGAATCGATCAGCTCAATTTCATAGTTATGGAATTTTGTTTTTCTTTTATCATACGTAGAAAGTAGGTAATGCAAGTTTGGATTTTCGATTTTTGTACATTTTCTTTTATTTATGGGTTTTAAGGAAGGCCCATGACTTAAGCCTGAGGCAGGTGGATGACGCTGATGTGACTTAGAAGTGGGCCAGACGGCCCAGACCAGAGAGAAACGTTGACCTCTGACCTGTGGCTTCTCAGTCCTATAGGGTTTGGATTTTGGTGTGTACGGTAAGACTTCTGAAACATGGGACAGGTGGCAACTAAAAGGCTGAACACCATCTACGAATCACTTGGCCGTGGCCCCGAACTCAAGAATATTTTAGGTGGGTCCCATCATGGATGGCTGCCGGCTGGGATGTCTGATTTTGACTCGTGGCAACTGCCAGTCAACCTCCCAGACACACGTGCTGGGGTGACATATCTAACAGCCACGTCATACCATCTCATCAGTCATGACTCATGAGACATGAATCATCACCTCTTGTGCTAGGTCAATGCTAGCACCACGTGTCCCATGATGCCGTGGCCGCAACAGGCGTTGCAGACAATGCGCCGTGGGCCGTTTTTATCTAGGATTTAGCCCAACGAAGAACTTACAGCCTGCAAATCTCTTAGAATGCGCCGTGGGTCATCCACCACCCTGGAGGGCATTCTCCTGCAGTTCCGCCTCTGCAAATCAGCTACAGAGATTTCTGGTCACCATAGCCGTTACCCCATTCCCCATTTGTTTACAGGGATTTCAAGCCTATCCACCCCAATTGCGAGACACCCAGTTGAAGAATTTGATACTCAATACGACAACTCAATCAGATTGCACCGCTTTAGCCATGTATTACAGGAAGGCTCCAACGCCCGCGACCTCCGAGCAGGCATGTTGGCTCATGCCCAACTCCTAAAATTGGCTCCTAATGGCTTCCTTTCCCTGTGGAACAAAGTGCTCGGGCTGTATGCTCTATGTGGACACACTCGGCTTCTGCGTTTCCTGTTTGAAACAATGCCTGAGAGAAATGTAGTTTCTTTCAATACAATGATTTCCTCTTATTTTGGCCATAATCGTAACAGTGTCAGAGCCTTGCAAGTTTTCTCCAAGATGCAAGAGGAGGATGTCAAGCCGGACCGTATCACCCTATCTGCATTGATACGGGCTTCTGTGCTTTTAAACACTTCACACTTGATAGAGCTCTTTCATGCCCAAGTAATTCAATATGGTTTAAGTTCTAATGAGTTCGTGGGGAGCGCGTTGGTTGATGGGTATGCGAAGAAAAGGAGGTTAGAATGTGCTTTACGTGCATTTGATGAGATAGCTGAACTAGATTTAGTCTCATGGAATATCATGATTGATGCATGTACATGTAATGATAGCAAAGACCATGCCTTGAGAATCTTCTCTCGGATGCGAAAGGAGGGTGCAAGGTTTGATGGCTTCACTTTGACGAGCATCACAAAGACATGTTCAGAACCAAGAGACCTGGAACTGGGTTTGCAGCTGCATGGTTGCATAGTAAAAGCCGGCCTGACTTCTGAAACGCCTATTGCCAATGCACTCATCACCATGTATGCAAAGTGTGAAGAAGGAATGGTTTCTGCTACTCAAGTTTTTCAAAGAATGTTTACACCCAATATCATATCCTGGACTGCGATGATTGCTGGGTTGATGCAAAAGGGGCAGAATGAGGAAGCTGTTCGATTTTATAGGAGAATGCTGAGAGTAGGCGTGAAGGAAAATGAGTTCAGCTTTGCTAGTATTCTTCCGGTGTATAGTAATTTGGCAAGCCTTGAGCAAGGTAGACAAGTTCATGCAAGGGTCATTAAATCATGGGTTGGCTTGGATTTATTGGTGCAGAATGGTCTTGTAGATATGTATTCGAAGTGTGGCAGCTTAGCAGATGCCCAATTGGTGTTCATGACCATGGAAAACCGTGATCTCATATCTTGGACAGTAATGATTACGGGATTTGGCCAGCATGGGAGGGGAAGAGAAGCTCTCAATTTCTTTGAAGCAATGACAAATGAAGGACTGAAGCCAGATGCTGTTACATTTCTTGGATGTCTATCTGCATGTAGCCATAGTGGTCTCGTGGATGAAGGGCTTCAGGTTTTCAGGTCCATGATTGATGTTTATGGTGTCAAGCCAAAGCGAGAACATTATGCTTGTATAGTTGATATGTTTGGTCGTTCAGGGAGGTTGAAGGACGCAGAGAGGTTTATTGAGGATACAGGGATTAAATCGGATGCTTTGGCATGGGAAGCATTGCTTGGTGCTTGTAGGATTCATGGGGAGATGGCACTGGGAAAGAGATCAGCAGAGAGGATTATGGAATTAGAACCTGAGAAGCATGGACCATATATGTTGTTATCAAATATGTATGCTGACAGGGGATTGTGGGATGATAAGGGCAAGTTGAGGGAGAGATTCTGTGCAAGCGGGTTGAAAAAGGAAACTGGGCACAGCTGGGTAGCATTGCAGGGCACACTGTAGAAGTTTTTGAATAAGATGATTAAACAACATTCCTCAAAACAACTTTCTAGATAAGCGAATGTTCTGGGTACTCGATCTTCATCAATAAATTAGGACTGGCTTTGTGAGAGATAATCAACTTAATTCAGCCTTAATCCTAACCATTTGGAGTCTGCTAGGACTGGTTTCATCATGAGAGGTGCCCATGCAAATTTTGTGATGTTGAAACTAATTGGGTGCAGGGTGAGAAAAAAGACAGAGTTGGACATATTCTATGCAAATTGCAGGCCTGGACTAAGAATAACGTGTAAACCAAAATACAAGCTGAAGACAGAATATACCTCCATACCCATTACTTATACGTCAACAAACTTCTGACAAACCCTAACATGAAATTTATTCTCTGACAGCATCTTGAGTTACATTGATGTTGGAAATTAGCTTGGAAACCATAAAAAAAGCAGTTGATTGTGGTGAATGGTTTCTGTAAAGATGGCATTTATTTTTAAATCTTATTAATACAATTCATGGTTCTGATCACTGATCAAAAAAAAAAAAAAGAAAAAAAAAACATGGCTCTGATCAGTTAGCCAGGTCTTTGTAATCAAATGATATTTGGATATATTCTACAGATGAGGAACTCTTTCTCCTGATGTTTGTTGTTTCTCTTCATAATAAATTTGACTACTTGTGTACTGCATCATGATATTCCTTGTATTCCAGATTGCTAAGAGCAGAACCTGCCCTGAATTTGTGTATTCAAAACCTAGATGGATGGGCTAAGGCTTCTTTCAGTACTTCAGTACTTGATTATATACCCCATGTAGACATCTAACTTATCCTGCATCTCCTTTGATTATGTTGCCCAGTAAGCTGAGATAAATGCATGCAACTTCTTGATTCTCTAGTTCCAACTGTGCTACCAAAAATAAATCATGTAAGGTCAGTTTCTAACATTCTATCTCTAAAATCTCAGGGTTCCTTTCAACCAGGACACTCAATTTCTTTCATTATGCTAGAAGTACATATCTCATGCTAGGTTGGACCTCCTTGTCCCCTAATTCTAGAATCCTTCTCCAACTTTTCTGCAACCTCTTTGCTTTGCGAAGGCAAAATATCAGCAGGGAACATTTTCTTTGAGTTCCGGTGCAACTTATCTAGAGTTCTCCATGTCACAGCATCTGGGACCAACCCATTTTTTCTCATCTCTCCCATTATCTGGTGAGCCTCTCTCTTCAAACCCAACTTGCAAGCATTGTCAATTAGAATGTTATAGTTAACAATGTTTGGGGCAACCCCACAGTCAACCAGTTCATATAAGAAATTACATGCCTCATTCAGTTTACCTGACCCACATAAGCCTTTAAGAATTGCTGCATAAACATAGTCATCATGAATTCCTGAGGGCCAAATTACATTTTCCCAAAATTCCTTTACCTCCTCTATTCGGTCAGATCCGCATAATCCTTCAACCATAATTGTATAAGTTGTACTGTCAGCAATCACTCCTTGACCAACCATGTCACTGAAAATCCCCATTGCTTCATCAACTTTCTGTAATTTGCATAACCCCCGAAGAACTACATTGTAAGTAACAACACCACGGCAAAGACCCTTTTCGGGCATTTTGTGGTGCAACAGATCGAGGGCTTCTTTGATCTTTCCATCATTTAGTAGACCACAGATAATGGTCGTGAAGGTAACAGCATCCGGAGCACAAAGATTTCCATTCAACATATCATGTAGGACTTTCAAAGCTTCTTCAACTCTTCCCATCTTGCAGAACCCATTAATAACGGTGTTGAGGGTAACTACATCAGGTTGGCACCCATCCTGAAGCATGGAAACAAGTACATTTAAAAGCTCACTAAGATTATCCATACAACAAAGCGCTCTTAGGAATATATTGTAGATTCGGGTTCGGTCCACACCTTGCTTATTCAGCATAAACTGAAGTAGATTCTTGGCTTTGCAAAGATCAGATTCTATGCAAAGACCCTCAACAAGGACCTTGAAAGTAGGTTCAGACGGCGAGTATCCAAATGCTTGTCCCTCTTCAAACAGTTGATAAGCCCTCATACATCCTCCTTCCTTGCTCAAACCGTGGATTATAGAATTGTATGAAACCAAGCTTGGAAAAAATCCCCTCTTTCTCATTATATACACAATCCTTGATGCCCCATGATTCCGTCCAGCTCTGCAAAGAGAATCAATCATCTGCCCGTAAGCAAATTCTTCGTTGACGCTTTTCCCTTGAGGCATCTCTTCAGCAATCCTGAAAATTTCATGAAAGAACCCTTCTCGACATAGAGAATCAATAAGATTAGCAAAAGCTGCATTATTGACAGAAAGGTCCTCCTCATCAATCATTATGCGCCAAAGCTGGCGCATCAATTCCGTCCCCTCCTCAACCTTCCGCTTCCTCAAAACACCTCTCAGCAATACACTATACGTGAGTGAATTTGGAACAACACCATTCTCGCCCATTTCATCAAACAGTTTCCGAACAACATTCAATTGCCCAACCTTGCAAAACCCATTGATAAGAGAAGTATAGGTGACAGTATTCGGAGCATGCCCACGACTTTTCATATCGAAGAACAACCTATGGGCTTCAATTGGATGCGAAATGGAGCATAGCTGATCAATTAGGCGGTTGTAATTGATTAACGATGGCACAAATGCTGGCTTTTCAGCAATTAAACCGCAGACAAGGTGCAGTGTTTGATCCGGAGTTCTGGCGTCGAGGAGGCGGGCAATGAGGACATTGCAAGTACGCTCATCAGGGACACAGTCAGAGGCGATAGATAGGATAAAGCGGTGGTGGGCCTCGGAGAAACGATTAGAATCGCAGAGAGCGTGGATTATGCTGCTAAGGTTGAGCGAATCAGGGCGATACCCTCGGAGACGGAGGCGGTCGAGGAGATGAAGTGCGCCGTCTACGTTTCGTTCAATTGTGCAGAGTCTGTGAATCTTTCTACCCCAGTAAGACCTGTTGTTTACATTTACGCTCTCCTCTCCTTCTTCGTCTTCCTCCGCCTGTTTATCCAGCAAATGAGACGTCAGATGAGTGGTTTGCTGGCAATAAGTGTTGAATTGAACGGGGAAGAAAGAAAGGGAACCAAAGAGCTTTTTGCTTGTGAATTGAAAGGGGATGAGAAACATATTCTTCAGTCTTCACCTGTTCAGCTGTAAGCTTGATTTCGTTATTCTGGTGGATTCGGACGAACTCGAACAAAGCTGCTGCCAATTCAACTCACATCTACCGACCCGGTCTGGTCTAACATTCACAATCGGGTCAAGTTGGTCTTGCCATGGCCCAAGGATCTTGACATAGTGCTTTAAGTAGGTGTGATAAACTGATAATGGTATCGGCAGCCATTCAAGCTTTGCACCTGTGATAAGGGTTATAGTCTGTGCCCAGCCTACGTGGGCGAAGGTAGGGCCAAGTTTGATTCTAGGCCTACGTGTACTCTAAAATTTGTGAGTTTGATGCGAACCCAGACCTTAATACAAAACTTAGGCTCAACCCCAGAATGTTTGGTCCAACCCGGGTGAAAATGATCACCCCTAGCTTTTAAGTCAACCTTAGTTATTCTAGCCAAATCGTTTCAGGTAGAAAGAGCAGTGGTATCTGTTTTGAACAAAATAAAATACAGTTTAGAAAGAGCAGATGGTCAGACCAAAAAATTAGGAGAGAACGGCTTTTCACTTTTGGCCATTTTTTGCCCAACCTGGGCTCGAGCCCAACTCAGACCGAGTTTGGGCTTTAGGCCCAATTCTTAGGGTTGGGCCTAGGTTGAGCTAAAACCTGGCCCAACCCGCTTGACTATACGCCCAGTGTTTAGAAAATTGGATTAGATCGGCAATCAAACCGGTTGAACCATGACCTAGGGTCCTAATCGGTTCAGTCACACCCCAATAACCAGACTTGCTCGAAACCTGCTGAAAATCGGCTAATTGATCAATTTAACCGGGAAACTAGTCCCGGTTTCATAAAACGGCCCAAATCCATACATAAGTGAAATTTTAAAATGTTAGGTGGCGTTTGATAAATTTAAAATCTGAAATCTGAAAAGTTAAAAAGATATAATTTGTCTGAAATCTAAAAAGAAGCATAGGTACTTTTTAGAGGCTTTGAATCCATAACTTTGTTTGTGTTGTATCAACCCTTTACCATCTGAAATTTATTGATTTTACCATTTTACCCCTAGAACATACTATTTGAAAATGTCGAGTTCAATTCGTATTATCTCAAATTTTCAACTTCAAAATAATACAAATAATAAATAATAAATTAATAATTACCAATTACTAATTAATAAATGAAACGATTAAAATTAAAAAAATAATTAATGACTATAAAAATATTAAAATAACTAATAATTAATAATTTACACAAATAAAAATTAAAATAACTTTTAAAAACTAATGAAATAATTAAAAATTACTAGTAAATAAAAATAATTAATAAAAAATATTAATAATTAATTAATTAATTAATTAATTAATAATTAATAATTATTATTAATGTTAATATTCACTGAACAGTTGTCGTTGCAAGTTGCAGTGATTGTGTCGGGAAGACAGGGGAGGGAGAGAGAGAGAGAGACGGATCAAATGGAGTAGGGGTATTTTTTTACTTTAGGCCACATTTGAAACGCATCTGAGCGTGTTAAGTGACGGGCTTGAGTCTTAAAATTTCAGATCTGAAAAAACTTTTCAAATCATATTTCAGATGTAACACCAAATAAGCATTGCATCTGAAAAGTAGATATTTCAGACTCAGGCATCTAAAAAGTGTTATCAAATACCACCTTAGTAACAAGATTTGAACCCAATACCTCTTATTTTTATAGATTACTTAATTACTACTAATCCACCTTTTTACTTATTATGCACATATTTTAAAGAAAATAGAAGTTAAAAGGCCTAAACCCTAGTAATTTGTTTTAAAAATCAAAAGCTTATCATCCATCCACTACATTTAAATACATTAAAGTTATATTATATATAGTATTTATATGACCCATAGACCATAGTATATATATATATACTTATGAATATATATATATATATATGTATATGTATATATATATCATATTATCACAGTTTGACCAGAGTCAAACCTCTGACCTACGAACAGGGCAAAAGCAAGTATACTGGTGGGGTCCTTGTCCCCCCACCACCAAAATTTTTGTTAAATACTTAAATCATTAATCATTATTTATATAGGGTTAGTAATGGGAGGTTGGTCAAAATGTAATAAACAGGGTCATAAATTCAAACCTTCTCAAATACCTTGCTTCTGCTTCAACCTCCCCCCACCCCCACTCCCAAAATAAATAAAAAAGAAATTCCTGGCTCGGCTACTGCGCATTAACCTCTCTCTTCTTCTATATGCATCTCCTATGCATTGTATACACAGATACAGACATACGGTTTGCTGTTTTAAGCTTTTACGTTGTAACAGGTACATTTAGTAATGCGCCCCACCGTGAGAGGTGTTGATGGGGTTGGACCACATGCAGTCTGCAGTTGTACAAATGCTTCAGGTACAAAGTACATCCAGCTAAGCGTGCAACTAACAAGAGTAGTCCGTACTACTGATTTGGGTAACCGAAAATTTTAAAAATATGTTTCTCTTCTGTTTTTACAGGAAAACCTTTTTAATCTTTTTATAATCTAATTGTTGTCTTTCCTTTCACTTTTTCTTAATTTGCTTTTACCAAAACTGATAGTTTGGCCCGACCTCGCAAATCACGCCACATGCAGCAGTTCGGCACTAAAAACAGCATACCGAGGGTACAAAAGACCAAAGGGGAGAGACCAGCGGTTCGAACTCCCTAAGAGGAGCCCGAACTCCCTACAAGGGGCCCGAACTCCTTACAAGGGGCCCGAACTCCCTATTCGGAGCTCGACCTCCCTGCGAGGAGCCCAAACTCCCTATAAGGGGCCCGAACTCCCTACTTGGAGCTCGAACTCCCTGCGAGGAGCCCGAACTCCCTACAAGGGGCCCAAACTCCCTACTTTGAGCTCGAACTCCCTACGAGGAGCCCGAACTCTCCCTTTGGCCCCGTCACACAAAGCAGAGACCCGAACTGGCTCGTCTCATGACAGTTCGGAACACCCCCCTGTCCGAACTTGACCGCCTCGCGCACCGCTCCAGGCACTTCGCCTCCAGAGCATTGAACTGGACGAACCACACCGTACCTAACACCGAAGGAGTCCGTATCCAGGGGCGGCGCACCTGACTGACTTGGGATCTGACGCTTGACGGCCGCACTTCAATGGCCACCTGCCACCGTCACCTACCACCGCCATCTCCAGTTACAGAGACGGCTCCGACAAAAAGAGCAGTGACGGTTCTGCCCCAGYAGAGGCAATGACGCCCGAACTGGCAGAATCACGGAAGTAATCATTCCCGACCTGACAGAAGTCTAGGAGTGAGTGTGCGAGGTGCTTATAAAAGGCTCTCCACTCCCCCAAAGAGGAGGTATGCAAACTTTGCGCTATCTGGTTTTATCTTGCCTTTGAAGGATTCTAACTTAAGCTTCGGAGCCTTTACACCGAGCTCTCCCCGAAGCTTCCTCATCCCCTCCGTTTCAGGTTC